TGGGTCGTGGGGCGGGCGGCTGATCCTCTGGGGCGCTGCAGGTTCACTCCCCTCTGCCGGTGGAGAAGGCACCTGGCCAGGGGTCCCCCTTCTGAGGCCGAAAGGAGCCAGGGGCACATGCCGGGGGAGCGCGAGGGGATCCCCGGGGCCCTGACAAAGCTGGGGCACAGGGGTGTCGCCTAGGGCTCCCCTGAGCTGGGACAGGGCAGGGCCCTGCTGGACCCCGACAGGGAGCTGGCCGCTCGCTAGCACCATGGGACCCCGAGCTGTCTCCGTGCGCGGTGCTGGTGGGGGCGAGTGCCCGCGCTTCTCCTGTGCCCCCGGCGCAGGCTGGGCTAGCACAGGACTCCGGCCCTTTCCCCTTCCCTGGCCCTGGCCAGCCCCCACCCCGCCTGTACCCTGTGCCACCTGTACCTCCTGCCGCCTGTATCCCAGGCTGCTTGTACCCCATGACGCCTGTACCCCGTGCCGCCTGTACCCTGTGCCACCTGTACCTCCTGCCGCCTGTATCCCAGGCTGCTTGTACCCCATGACGCCTGTACCCCGTGCCGCCTGTACCCTGTGCCACCTGTACCTCCTGCCGCCTGTATCCCAGGCTGCTTGTACCCCATGACGCCTGTACCCCGTGCCGCCTGTACCCTGTGCCACCTGTACCTCCTGCCGCCTGTATCCCAGGCTGCTTGTACCCCATGACGCCTGTACCCCGTGCCGCCTGTACCCTGTGCCACCTGTACCTCCTGCCGCCTGTATCCCAGGCTGCTTGTACCCCATGACGCCTGTACCCCGTGCCGCCTGTACCCTGTGCCACCTGTACCTCCTGCCGCCTGTATCCCAGGCTGCTTGTACCCCATGACGCCTGTACCCCGTGCCGCCTGTACCCTGTGCCACCTGTACCTCCTGCCGCCTGTATCCCAGGCTGCTTGTACCCCATGACGCCTGTACCCCGTGCCGCCTGTACCCTGTGCCACCTGTACCTCCTGCCGCCTGTATCCCAGGCTGCTTGTACCCCATGACGCCTGTACCCCGTGCCGCCTGTACCCTGTGCCACCTGTACCTCCTGCCGCCTGTATCCCAGGCTGCTTGTACCCCATGACGCCTGTACCCCGTGCCGCCTGTACCCTGTGCCACCTGTACCTCCTGCCGCCTGTATCCCAGGCTGCTTGTACCCCATGACGCCTGTACCCCGTGCCGCCTGTACCCTGTGCCACCTGTACCTCCTGCCGCCTGTATCCCAGGCTGCTTGTACCCCATGACGCCTGTACCCCGTGCCGCCTGTACCCTGTGCCACCTGTACCTCCTGCCGCCTGTATCCCAGGCTGCTTGTACCCCATGACGCCTGTACCCCGTGCCGCCTGTACCCTGTGCCACCTGTACCTCCTGCCGCCTGTATCCCAGGCTGCTTGTACCCCATGACGCCTGTACCCCGTGCCGCCTGTACCCTGTGCCACCTGTACCTCCTGCCGCCTGTATCCCAGGCTGCTTGTACCCCATGACGCCTGTACCCCGTGCCGCCTGTACCCTGTGCCACCTGTACCTCCTGCCGCCTGTATCCCAGGCTGCTTGTACCCCATGACGCCTGTACCCCGTGCCGCCTGTACCCTGTGCCACCTGTACCTCCTGCCGCCTGTATCCCAGGCTGCTTGTACCCCATGACGCCTGTACCCCGTGCCGCCTGTACCCTGTGCCACCTGTACCTCCTGCCGCCTGTATCCCAGGCTGCTTGTACCCCATGACGCCTGTACCCCGTGCCGCCTGTACCCTGTGCCACCTGTACCTCCTGCCGCCTGTATCCCAGGCTGCTTGTACCCCATGACGCCTGTACCCCGTGCCGCCTGTACCCTGTGCCACCTGTACCTCCTGCCGCCTGTATCCCAGGCTGCTTGTACCCCATGACGCCTGTACCCCGTGCCGCCTGTACCCTGTGCCACCTGTACCTCCTGCCGCCTGTATCCCAGGCTGCTTGTACCCCATGACGCCTGTACCCCGTGCCGCCTGTACCCTGTGCCACCTGTACCTCCTGCCGCCTGTATCCCAGGCTGCTTGTACCCCATGACGCCTGTACCCCGTGCCGCCTGTACCCTGTGCCACCTGTACCTCCTGCCGCCTGTATCCCAGGCTGCTTGTACCCCATGACGCCTGTACCCCGTGCCGCCTGTACCCTGTGCCACCTGTACCTCCTGCCGCCTGTATCCCAGGCTGCTTGTACCCCATGACGCCTGTACCCCGTGCCGCCTGTACCCTGTGCCACCTGTACCTCCTGCCGCCTGTATCCCAGGCTGCTTGTACCCCATGACGCCTGTACCCCGTGCCGCCTGTACCCTGTGCCACCTGTACCTCCTGCCGCCTGTATCCCAGGCTGCTTGTACCCCATGACGCCTGTACCCCGTGCCGCCTGTACCCTGTGCCACCTGTACCTCCTGCCGCCTGTATCCCAGGCTGCTTGTACCCCATGACACCTGTACCCCATGCTGCCTGTACCTTGTGGTGCCTAAGTTCCCTTGAGATAAAAACTACCCTGCCGTGTCTCCCTTCGGCTTTCCCAGCCCCCGCTGTGTGAAAACAGCCCTGGCCTGGGCAGCAAGGGGGCCTCGTCATTAGATCTTGTCTACACGCTGCAGGCTGCGCTGGCTTCGCTTCAGCCCGTTCTCAATGACACCTGTACCCCATGCTGCCTGTACCTTGTGGTGCCTAAGTTCCCTTGAGATAAAAACTACCCTGCCGTGTCTCCCTTCGGCTTTCCCAGCCCCCGCTGTGTGAAAACAGCCCTGGCCTGGGCAGCAAGGGGGCCTCGTCATTAGATCTTGTCTACACGCTGCAGGCTGCGCTGGCTTCGCTTCAGCCCGTTCTCACGGCAGTGCCAACGTCCCCAGGCAGATGTCCTTGTTCCGGGTGAGCTGAGACCGGCTCGTGGCTGATTGTGGCGAAATCGTGAGCAGCCCGGTTTGCACCGAAATCAGAGGCTGCGCCCAGCGCTTTGCACCGGCCAGGGGCTGCCCCGGCGCGGCGCTGCGGGTGTGGGCAAAGCGCCCTTTCGGCCACGCGCTCTTCCCCCAAAGGGCCTGTCCCAGGCAGCTCCCCACGGCCTGGCTCCTACGCCTGGCTCCGGATGCCTTGGCAGAGGCTGGCTTTGCCCTGCTGGTGCTGCTGGGCTTCCTGGCTTTCCTGGGCCGGGGGGGGGCTCCCCTGCCAGAAGCCCCACAGCTTGTCCCAACTGCGGCCGAGAAGCGGCACAGGGCAGGGCTGTGTCCTGGGGGCAGGCCAGTAACCACCCAGGGGCCATGCGCAGCGGGAAATCGCGAGGGGCTGGGGGTGGAGACAGGGCGGAAGGAGGGATCCATCACCCCCCCTGGCAGGCAGGGAATCAGCTGCCCCGGCTCCGAGCCAGGCTCCCAGCCCGCTCTCCTGCCTCTGGCGGGGCCGGTGCTGGGTGCCCCAGAGGGGGGCTCAGAACAGGGCAATTAGCACGGGGTGCCCCCCGGCGTCCAGTCCCAGGTTCTGGCGGTCCCAGCAAGGGGCACCCGGAGTGAGGGTCACGTCCCCAGCCCTCCTTGCTACTAGCCATCGATGGGCCGATCGTCCAGGAACATCCCATTCTGCTGAGCCTCGTTCCAGTTTGCCTTCGCTCCCCCAGCAGGGAGTTCCCCAGGTGTCTGTGCAGGGACGACGGGGTGCCCCCCGGCGTCCAGTCCCAGGTTCTGGCGGTCCCAGCAAGGGGCACCCGGAGTGAGGGTCACGTCCCCAGCCCTCCTTGCTACTAGCCATCGATGGGCCGATCGTCCAGGAACATCCCATTCTGCTGAGCCTCGTTCCAGTTTGCCTTCGCTCCCCCAGCAGGGAGTTCCCCAGGTGTCTGTGCAGGGACGGAGCCCTTCCTTCTGCTGGCTTTAAACCTGCTGTCGCTTGATTTCATTGGGCCCCCTGGCTTGGGGGGAGCCCGAGGCGCCCCGAGGCCCCTCTCCCAGGCCATGCCCTGCCCTCTGTGGGGGAGGAGCTCAGCTCGTACGAGAGGGGCAGGTCTCTCTTCTGGAGCTGGTGTTTCAGGCTCTCTGCGCACACCACACGGGCCTGGGAAGCTTTGCAGGAGTCGGGAGTGACGGGGGGTCATTTTCCGGGTGGGGGGGTCGGGTGGCCTGTGATGGCAGGGGCCGGACCTGGCCTGGCTCTGGGGTGGCCTGTGATGGCAGGGGCGGGACTTGCCCTGGCTCTTCCCACAGCCCGTCTGACTGGAGTCTGTGGTGCTTCGAGGCCTGGCTAGCTGGCCCGGCTGGGGGCCGGTGCACTGGGGTGGGTGACCTGGCTGTTTTACAGGGGGGGACGCAGGCTAGACCATCCCGCACTGCTCGTCCTCCAGCACCCACCCCCCACAGGCCCAGGGCAGACAGGCACGGGGACCGACCCCCCCCAGGTAGCAGCGGCCCTCAGGGTACAGAAACAGGCAAGACTGGGCCGGGGGCTGCTCACATGGGCTCGGCTAACTCGGGGGCTCAGAGCTGCGCCCAGCTCCGCCCCGGGGGCCAATCAGCTACCTGCGGGGGGCGGGGGTCATCCCCGTCCGGGAACCCAGGGCTGGTCCCCTTAGCTCCTTGGCTCAGCCCACGGGGCCGGAGCCGAGACCGAGAGCAGGGACTTTGCGGGTCGCTGGAGCAGGGAGACTGCGGGCGGGGGAGTGGGGGGCTGCCAGGGTCCGGGAGGCAGTGAAGTGCGAATGAAAGGCAAGAGCTAATGAGTTCAAGCCACAAGCTTTGCGTGGGATTCTCTCTGCTACGCACCAACGCACACCGCCCAGCGCGAGCCTGGGGCCAGGAGGGGAAGCCTGGATTCTAGGCTGGGCTTTGTTTTCTGTGTGCCTCAGTTTCCCCATCTCTGAGTGGGGACCTAGGGGCTGCCCTGTCTCAGGGTGGGGTGGTGAGTTGGATTGAAGCCTTCCCCCCATTGAGTCAGTAGGGATGGTTAGATCATTTCCTTTCATCTCCCGTTTCCCGCCCAGCGGTGAGTTCCACCAGTTACTCTTGCACGGAGGCCAGTGAGCGGCATGGGACTCCCGGGCGTCTTTCTCCTCCAGAGCAATCTGGCCCAGGCTAGAGACATGCAGGGACAGACAGTCCGGCCCGTTTCAGGGGGCTGTGTGACTGACCGGCCTGGGGCACAGCTGAGGGCGTCCGCTCAGGGCGAATTGCTCAAACTTGGGGCTCCGTACAGCCCCAGACCGGAGACCTTCCCAAATAGGCCACCAACCAGCCACACCGAGCGCTTCAGCTGCTGCTCTGGCCAGCCAGAAGCCTCAGGAACAAAT